GCCCACCGTGACGCTTCCCCCCTCCCCGACCCTGCTCGCTCCTTTGCTGAGGTTGAAAGTAGCCCAAGCTACAAAATGTATGTACAAACCCGGGAAGGGCTACCTATATACACAGGCACCTATGTACAGCCGCGTTACTCTTTCTTCTTGGCCACCGTCAGCTCCACCCCGGGCATGCGGAAGCCGCCCTTCGTCCCGCTGTCGTTGCTGGAGGAGGAGGACAAGCGCGATTTTTTGGACGCTAGCGAGACGCCGCTGCCCTGCGCCTTCCCCATCTCCTCGTCGCTTCCCGTCACCTCGTAAGAACCTTTAGTTTTTGAACCGATCCCCCCGAACGTCCCGAATTTCATTTTGCCCTGTTTCCCCTTGTCGGTGCCCGAGCCGATGTCCAGCTCCAGGGTTCCCGTGGGCGTCGAGTGGGCCGAGCGCTCGTCGCTGAAGGACGACGACCGGTGACGCGTCTTCTTGCTTTTAAAGAGGGAGAACTTCCCTTTCGCCGACGGACCCTCTCCCCCGTCGAGCTCGCCTTCTGCAGACCCCAAACTGACCTTGGAGCTCTTCAGGTCACCTTTCGAACCCGAAACGGACCCAGAAACCTCCGGGGAGCCCAGGGCACCGCTGCTCTTCCCCTTCTGCTTGGAAAAGTTGAACTTGGGCATTTTGATTTTGGATTTCTTTAGTCTGACATCCACATCCTCCGACTCGAGCTCTGCGGTGCCAGCCTGGAGGTGAGCGTCCGCCCCGGGGAACTCGACATCGACCCCCATCTCTCTGCCCTTCACCTCGGGGTCTGAAAACCCAAATTTAGGCATTCGCAGCTTGGGGAATGATACTTTTCCCAGGCTGCTTTCTGGGCTACCTTGCGGGACGCTTGCCGTGATGCTGGGACCTCCGATTCCTATCTTCGGACCAGTAATGTGAAAAGCTCCCCCGCCAGCGCTCACCGCGGGCGCTGCCGCCTCTCCAGAGATGGCGGCACCACCTTTGATCTTCGGCCCTTTTACATTGACGTTAAAACCCGACCCGGAAACTTTCAGCGCAGATGCGTCCAAGGCAGGAGCGTCAAGGTGGACGCCCACTCCAGGCTCCTTAAGGTCGACACGAGGCGCTTCCACGCTGACTTTTGGACCTTTGATTTCGCCGGCAACATCTACGTCGCCCCGTAGGTTTGGTCCTTTCAGCTTCAGGTCAACGTCTGGCAAGGAAACGCTGGGTGACTGCATTTGAAATTTAGGCCCTTTCAATTCCACATCGGGTCCTTCCAACCCAACACCAGCCCCTGAGCCCTTCAGGCCTCCTTTCACTTGGGGACCTTCAAGATGGACGCCTACGTCAGCTCCATCCACACCAGGACTGGAAATACCAAACTGGGGGAGCTTGAGGGACGGGAGCTTGATCGTGCCACCCAGAATTTCAAAGCCGACATCGGAGGTGTCCACTGATGCTTTGGGGGATTTAATGCCAGCAGAAACGTCAAGCTCTCCTTTCAACTTTGGTCCTTTCAGGTTTACATCCAGATCCAGGGCAGAAACATCCACCGAGGGCCCTTTGATATCGACGCCCGGGATGCCAAGACTGAAATTTGCACCCGGGGCTTTCGCATCCACCTCCATTTGTGGGACGGAGCAGTCGACACCTCCTTTCACGCTCAGATCAGGTGCCTCCATAGCGGGGGATTTAAACTTTGGCAGCTTCAGCTTTCCTCCCAAGCCTCCAATGTCAATGTTTGGCGCGTCCAGGCTGACATTTGGCCCTTCCACAGAACTCGAAACATCCAGATCTCCCTTTATTTTTGGTCCTTTCAGGTTTCCATCAAAATCGGGTCCAGAGATTTGGGGCCCTTTGAGCTTTACATCACCACCTCGGAGGTTCACATCAGCCGAAGGGAGGCTCACGCTTCCTTCCACGGCTGGGACCGAGATATCCAAGTTTGCAGCCGGCATTTCCAGACCGAGACCCATTTTCCCCCCCTTGGGCAATTTCAGCTTTCCTTCGGGACCTTCCAGTTCTGCTCCAGGAACGCTGACTTCACCTTTTATTTTTGGTCCTTTCACATTTAGGTCGACATCTGGCACTGGGATCGAGGGGACGGCAACGTCAATGGCGGGTCCTTTCAGGTCGCCCTCAATTTTCAAGTCTCCTACGCCCACCTGCCCACTGGGAAGTTTGAACTTTGGTTTCTTCAGGCTCACGTCAGGAGCGTCAACGTCCACATTGAGGCTCGGGCCTTTTACATCACCTTTGGCAGTCGGCACAGAGACTTCTAGATCAGGCGCTTTAAGTTCCCCCTCTATTTTTGGGACTGCCACAGAAGCATCCCCTCTGAATCTGTGTGATTTAAGATCAAATTCAACATCTGGGAAGGAGATTTTCCCAAACATGGGTTTCTTCCCTTTGGGGGACTTCACCGTAGCATCACCTTTTATCGTCACGTCCGGCCCAGCTACGTTCATATCCAGGTCGGGTGATTTCAAATTCGCATCGAGCTCTCCACCAGCCACATTCACATCGAACCCACCTTTCTTTCCTTTAACTTTAGGGCCACTCATATGAAGTTTTGGCATCTTGAACTTGCTCTTCTTACCCTTTCCAGCAATGTTGATATCAGGCGACTCCACATTCAGCTCCGCCTCAGGTAAATCCACTTCTGCCCCCTTGATTTCTGCCTTCGGGCTTTTCATCCCAAACCCAAACTTTGACTTCTTAAACTTGGGAAGTTTGACATTTGCCTCTGGGCCTTCAATGTTCAGGTCGGGACATTCAACGTCAACTTCAGGGCTTTTGACTCCAAATTCTGGGCCTTTGATATCAACTTCAGGAGCTTTCAGGTTACCTTCTATCTTTGGGGTTGAAATATCAAAGCCTCCCTTCGTTTTGTGGCCTTTCAAATTCAAATCTATCTCAGGCATTGAGATTTTAGGAACATTCATGTGCATTTCTGGCATCTTCAGTTTAGGACCTTTCAGTTTGCCCTCTGGACCTTCGACGCTCACATCCGGGACACTGATATCTACCTTGGGGCCTGAAAGATCGACCTCTGTCTTTGGCAGGTTCACGTCCACGTCAGGACCTTCTCCTTTAAAGCCAAACTTGGGCAGCTTCATTTTAGGCATCTTCACTTTTCCCTCCAGACCATCAACATCAACCTCTGGGCCCTCGATATCTACTTTCGGGCCTTTAATATCAACTTCAGGACCCTTCAGACCTCCCTCAAGCTTTGGGCCCTGAAGGTCAGCATCACCTTTCAGCCTCAGTCCTTTTAGGTTCAAGTCTATGTCTGGCATGGAGATCTGGGGGGTCTTGACGTGCATTTCTGGCATCTTGATCCTGGGCCCTTTCAGTTTTCCATCTGGTCCTTCGATGTTCACATCAGGTGCCTGAATGTCCAACTTGGGGCCTTTGATGTCAACATCTGGACACTGCAAATCCCCTTCCAGCTTTGGTGCCGAGACATCCACGTCTCCCTTCAGCCTGGGGCCCTTCAGATTAAAGTCAACATCGGGCATAGAGAACTTGGGCGCCTTGATGTGCATGTCTGGCATCTTGAATTTTGGGCCTTTGAGTTTCCCTTCCGGCCCTTCGATGGTCACGTCGGGAGCCTCAACATCTATTTGGGGGGCTTTTACATCAATTTGGGGTGCTTTCAAATCACCTTCAAGCCTGGGTCCAGAAACATCTACACCTCCTTTCAGTTGAGGCCCCTTGATATTGAAGTCGACATCAGGGATGGAGACCTTGGGAGCCTTAATGTGCATTTCAGGCATCGTAAATCTGGGACCTTTGACTTTTCCATCCACATTCAGATCAGGAGCCTCTACATCTATGCCGGGGCCCGAAATGTCAATGTCTCCCTTTGGGAGGTTCACATCCACATCCACTCCCTCCCCTTTAAAGCCAGGCATGGAAAACTTGGGCATTTTGAATTTAGGCAGCTTGAATTTACCCTCCGGGCTGTCAATATCAACATCAGGGGCACCTATGTCTAATGTAGGAGCGCCAATATTGACCTCTGGACCTTTCAGTTCACATTCAACTCCTGACACTGACATGTCTACGTCTCCTTTTACTTTGGGACCTTTCAGGTTCAGATCAAAGTCTGGGGTGGAGATTTTGGGAGCCTTGATATGCATCTCTGGCATCTTGAACTTGGGGCCCTTCAGCTTCCCTTCAGGGCCTTTGATGTCCATGTCAGGGGCCTCAAACTCAACCTTAGGACCTTCCAGATCAGGTGCAGAAACCTCCACATCTCCCTTCACTTTGGGGCCTTT